CATATTCATAAATGGTCTGGAAAAGAGGGTGAACAGTGTGGTAGGGTGAACAGTGTGGTGGCTAGATTTACAGACAATACAGAATTACTCATCAGTCCAAAGCTGTAGAGAACCTTTTTTTTGGTTCCAGGGCCACTGACCCACAGAAGAATCAGTTGGGAGCCACACACAAGTGAGAGGGGTGGGAAAAAACCTTAACAAATGTGGCCCCCAAATGAGAAGCAGAGACAGAAAGAGACACTTACTTCATTTGCCTTGGGCTCCAGGAGTGTTGATGTTTCTCAGAGCTTCCCCCAGGGCCAGATTAACTCTTCTGGGGGCCTGAGGCTACAAATGTTGTGGTTCCCCCTAGGCTCAAGGTGGGGGATACAGGATAGGGTACAGGAGTTGGGGGGGGGTCTGGGTGAAGGAGTAGGCTGAGGGAACGGTCTCTGGAGGGGGGGCAGGGAATTGGGGTACCTATCTGGCAAAACTCCCTCGGTGAAAGCTGGCTCTATGCCGCCCTGTGCTTTCAGGCACTGCCCCCTGCCACTGAGGGTGTGGAGCCTGAAAGTGAGTGCAGGGATAGAGTTTCCCTGCAATGCTGTTCCCCCAGCAAGAGGGAAATGGGGAATGGCAGTGCACAGAGACACTTCCTCACCCTGTCAGGGAGAGTTTGCGGCTCGCGGGTTCCCCATTTCCTGGTGAGGAATTTCCAAGGAATCTCCCTAAACTGAGTGACAAAATGCAAATGAAATGCAGTGTTGTTAAGTGTAAAGTACACCCTGGAAAAAATAATCCCAGCTGTACATACAAAATGGTGGGGTCTTAAACTAGCTGTTAACACTCAAAAAAGCGTGATCTTGCAGTCATTGTGGATAATTCTCTGAAACCATCCAATCAGTGTGCAGAAGCCAGTCCAAAAAAAACCTAATAAAACATTAGGAGCCTTTAGGAAAAAGATGATAAAACAGAAAATATTACGCCACTGTTTAAATCCATGGTACACCCACATGTTGAATAGTACATGTAGTTCTGTTCATTCCATCTCAGAAAATATATATTAGATCCAGAAAAGGTGCAAAGAAAGGCAACAAAAAGGGTTAGGGATGTGGAACAGTTTTCCTATGGAGAGATTTAAAAGACTAGGACTATGCAGCTTTTAGAAAAGAGATGGCTAAGGGGAGCTAGGATAGAGGTCTGTAAAATCATAACTGTTTTCGAGAAAGTGAATAAAGAAGTGTAACTAACTCCTTCAGGAAGAACTAGGGGTCACCCAACAAAATTAATAGGCAGATGGTTTCAAAGAAACAAAAGGAATTACTTCTTCATACAGTGCACAATTGACTTTTGGGAAATCATTGCCCTCACCACCCCATTGGTGGGCCTGGCAAAGGGAGCAATTGTGCCAGAGCCCAGAGATTCAAAGGGCCCTGGAGTTACTGCAGCAGCTGAGCCCTAGACCCCTTTGAATTGCTGCCGGAACACTGCTCCTCCCTGAGGGCTGAGGAAGGTGCCACAGTCTGGGCAGTGCTAAGGGCTGACTGCCCTTGGCCTCGCCTCTTCTGGAGGTATGGAGCCAGGCCTCCCCACACCTTGCCCTGGGGCTCAGGGTGACTGTTCGCCCTTCTGCTCATTGCTATGGAATATTGTGAAGGCCAAAAACATAATTGGGCCCAAAAAAAGAATTAGATATGTTCATGGAGGATAGACCCATCAATGTCTGTTAAACAAGATGATCAAGGACAAAATCGCTAAAGCCTCCAAATGCCAGAAGCTGTGATCGGATCATGGTTTGGATCCCTCAGAATTACCCTGTTCTGTTCATTCCCTCTGAACATCTGGCATTGGCTGCTGTCAAACGACAGGATAATGGACTAGATGGGCCAGTATGGCCAATTTTTTGGTCTTAAATAACATTTCCCATAGAAATTCCCCAGGCTCAAGTCAGGGAACTCCCTATGGGTGATTTTGCCAAATTCCTTTCCAGCTGTTTCTCTGTTATTTCTAAAGAAAAGAGAAGCGTTCACTGCATTGCCAGATATAGCTTCTCATGCTTTTCACACATTCCTTTGTTTGTTAAATGTAGATTAGACTGGGCAATGGAATTTGATGACTGAATTTATGGGTATTTTATCTTTTCTTTTTTTTTTAGTTGCTGATTGCAAATTCTCTGCTACATTTTTCTCCATAGCATTAAAAAAAATCCTATTGTTAGTATCATTAAGGCTCTGTACCAAGTGTGGCTTATGAGCTAAATGCAGCTCTTTTATAATAAAGTATGGCTCGTGGAGTCCCCCATAACTCCACCTACCAGACTGAAGCAAGGGGTGGAGCTCAGGTCCTGTATTTTACAACAGAGTTGGTGGGGTAGGAGTTTCTGCTCAGTGGAGAGGGAGGGTCTCAGGGCTTCAGT